GATGTAATGGGTAAAATATGTAACAATTGTAAAGAGATAAACAATAAACTAATATGTAAAATATATATATGTATATGTGCGTGGAGTGTGTGTGTGTGTGTGTGTGTGTGTACGCGCGCGCAGGTGTTCATAAATTATGAGTATTAAATTAGTGCAAAAGATTAAGTGACGAGTTCAAAGTAAAATTGTATGATGTATGATTATTTTATTATAATTAATAAGAGTATTTGTTTTGAAAGTATTATTTTATTCTAAATTTTATCGATGAATACTTTTGCACTAATATAATATATTGTAAAATATACTTTATACTTGGATATTGCGGACATGTATGTAATATTGTTCTGCATCGTGTAATGTATTAATATATCTGCATAAAGTTAAAGAATGCTAAATAATGTAATTACGATATATCGATAATGACTAATCTTTCTTAATTTCTATTTTCCTAAAACAACATATCGTGTAAGAACTTAATGTAATGTATATTACATTAATCCATTAACGACCAATATCATTTTTAAAATAAAAATTTTACTATTAATAAAATAAATTTAGTAACAAATGATGTTCTCATATCAATTCTTTTCAATATTTCGTGTTCAAATATACGAAAATGTTTTGAAAATGTATAATATAATGATAAATTGTTCAATATATTGTAGCATAAAAAGTGAGAGCACACACACATACACATACAATTGTAATAAAATATTATATTATAAATGCGATTTTTAATCAAATAAATTTTATTAAGTAAAGTTTTAATATAACAGCGCTATGGTCTTTAATGGATTTATAAATTAGACACGAATAAAAATGGATGAGAAAGAAGGAATTGTTGAAAATAAAACAAGTACTTTTAAGAGCAATCGACAAATTAATTAAATTAAATTTAAATTTACAAAGTTTAATTACTTTTTAATATCCCTGACAGAGAAAATTTTTACGAAAAAGTACAAAGCTATATATCGCAGCAACATCTCAGAAATTCTTAGTTTTTCGTAAATATTCAAAGAGTAGTGTTGTTTAAGTTTCGTGGTATATCAAACAATTTTGTACAAGACACAAAAAAGATTCCGTAAAAACTCAATTTATAGAGTCAAAAGACGTATATGAAAAGGGCGGAGAATTCTTTGATTTTTCGACGTTACTCTATGTGCCATTACGAATATCTACGAAAAATTAAGAATTTGATCTTGTTTCAATCAATGTACTCTTTCGCAAAAATGTTTCTGCTAAGGGCATATACATGTATTCGGTATTTCTTTGTTGTGTATTAATTTGAATGTTGACTTTAGAAATACATATATACTTTAATTTTTTAACATTTAATTTTTTTGTTTAAATTGAAGGAAAATAAAAATTAAAAGAATATGTTTTATTTAAAAAGAATAAAAAATATTTGTTTTATTCTATATTTTGTTTTTGATTAAATGCATTAACTCAATTTCATATTTAATTTAATTTTTCAACGAAATTTCACAAATACGTTTTATGAATTCCATACGAATAATTTTTCCTTCTAATTCCATTTGAATTCGTCCATTTATTCCACAGACATTTCATGTATCTCATTTATTATCCGTTTATTAAAGTTTATCGTGTAAATATGAATTTATACACTATTGTGGAATGTTTGATATGAAGATGTGAGTGATACGTTAGGAATAATCTTAATTTTTCTTTTGGATCCAATTTGATCTAATTTCAACATTGTTTGAAGAATCTCAATTACTGGACATCCTCTTCAGAAGTGTTTCAGAAAGATTATGAGGATAAAAAAAACTTTAAATTTTTTATTTAAAAGAATTCATAATTATAACTATAATTCTTCTAATTTTCTGTTATATAATACAAAAATTATTTTTTCAATTAAAAATTTATTAAATTTGAAAATTGAAATATTGACTGAAGTCACACAACTTTTTTCTACTGTCTTTTATAGTACCTGTATAAATTGAAACTAATTAAATTAATCATAATTTTTATATAGGGTTTTCCAATATTTTTTGCATTTTCCTGTAACTTTGTATTTATTGGAACTTATTAAATTTTAATGTTCTATATATTTTAATAACTAAATTAAAATTTTGATTGAAATTCAATTAAAATTTCACGTCAATGTTTTATTATTTATGTATTGATATGTAATAGCTAAGTTAAATTGAAAAAAAAATTGATGTTCTATTAATATCCTTAGAATGAATTAAAAATAATGTTGTCTATTTTAAAATTGTACGAATGCTTACAATTTATTTACGTTTTTAAAACTTACTTATGTGATAATGCTTTTATTTTTAATATACTGCAAAGTGCATTTTCACGAATTCTTGGATACCGTGTAGAAATAATATGCGTTTTATTATCACATCGCGACATCCTTGATTATGACGTTAGGAGTTCTTAACCGATTTGACCTAATGACAAAGCAATCAATATCTCACTATAGTCATTAGTAAATACGTTTCATTTAATATGCAATTACTCTCTCAATAGAAATATTACAGAACCTTCAGACAAAATTGTCAATCTCTTTAAATTATTTCTCTTTTTTTTATAGAAATGTACAAAAGAACGATTTTTAGATAAAATATATTTTGTATAAAAAGATTTTATTTATTATATAATTTAACTTTAAAATATTAGAATGTCAAAAAAATTTTTTTCTATTTAGTTTGTTTTAAAACCACTTTAAAACACATATTTTTACTCTTGTCTTAATATTTCTATTTTTGTTTTAATTATGAATAATAGGATGATATAGATTTTAAATTATAAGAAACAAAGTTTTTCTTTTACTACTTAAAAAAAATTAATGTTTACCTATAAAACAATTTTTTAAAAAGAATTTGTTAATTATTAAAATATTATTAAAAAATATATGCTTAATTAATAATTTATATACAGAACTATAAAATATAAATTTTAAAAAATATTGCATGTTAGCATTTTGAAGCAAACTGTGTAATCACTTATTTACATAACATAAAGAAGAAATACATTATACAAAAAAATCCAATAAAAATAACTACTTTTTTTATAACCCTATACCTCTTTTACACTCCTCAATATCGCATTTTAGACGAGGACAAAGATGCCAAGGAAACGAAGGAGCAGGAGACTCATCAGGAGCAGCAAGTGGTGGATGGTGAATAGAAAATGTATTGGTTGATGGAGATCACATCGCGCCCCAGTTGGAACGGACAGGATGACGATATTCCCGAATGATATAAGGGACGGCATATAATGATAAATCAAGGTAACATCTTTAACCGCAGGCGCTGCAGTGAGTCCTTAACGTTTAAAATATGAATGTACGATATTAGGGAGAAATTGTTTAATATATATATACATATATATATATATACATAGAGAGAGAGAGGGGGGGGGGAGAGAGAGAGAGAGAGAGAGAGAGAGAGAGAGAGAGAGAGAGAGAGAGAGAGTGAAACAATACAAAAATATTTACCACGCAGTTAAATAAAATAAAATTAATATGAAAAGATGATTAAGAAAAAAAGAAGTAAAGAGTAGTGCTAGTTACTACCACGCCTATACGATAAAAATGCGCTAATTCGACGTTGTGAATAGGTGTGAGATTATATGCGCACATGTATATGTGTGTGTGTGTATGTGTGAAAAAATAACAGAGAGAGAGAGAGAGAGAGAAAGAGAGAGAGAGAGAGGAGAGAGAGAGAGCGAGCGAGCGAGAAAAAGAAGCATGTACATACATATATATGTATGTAATATATAATAGATAAAGCGCATATATATATGAATATGTATATGTATGTATAGGTAATTAATTATATATAACTACACACTGTACTAAGCGGTGAGCAAAAAGTGAAAAAAGTAGTAAAACTCTTATTACACGATTGCTATGTTTACACAATTATATATATACATGAGTATATATATTATACATATATATATAAAATTATAAATACACACACTTACCTACCATTCTTATTTCGCTACTCCTCCTCTGCGTTCTTTCTCTTGAATGTTGTTTTTAGTTTTATGAAAAATAATGACGCAAAAAACGTATTAGTCGCAATGACGATGATGAATACCTTGTAGTATAACTATTCTGAATGTGTTTAAGCGAAAAAGAAATTGCGCAATACCGCCCCATCGTTAATCACGCGGAATCACTCTATATATATAAATAATATTATTATTGTATATTTTGTGGTTTATTTAACAATAAACTATTAACAATAATAACGTTAACTGCTGTCTCGATCTTTTTCTGTATACCAAAATATGTTTTCTAATATTATTAAAAATATTTAAGCAAATAAATAAAGGATATGCGATTAATAAACTTGAAATATTTACAATTAAATGAGAATATAACACATGATAATGTGGTAAATGTGTAATATGAGAGTAACATAATTCCAGTTTACAAATACTTTAAAGTGAAAAAAGAGACTTTTTAATAAAGGGTTTGAAAAATGTAGGTTTATATATATCTCTTAAATTGATTTTGAAAATAATCTTTTATTTTCACAACCTTTTGAAGTAGATTCAAATTTGTCTTGCTGTCTTCGAAGTTATAATACTAAAAAAATCAACAGAAAATCTTTATATTGTATTTAAATAAACATATATTATATTTTACAAAATTATATTTAACATACCATATTAATCATTGTACACTCGACAGCAAAATTAAAGCATCACTTATCTACTCGTCACTTATCACGTTACTCTTTTAAAATTTGCCTATTTTTGGGAGACAGAATAAGTAATGCTTTAATTTTACTGTTGAGTGTACATTATACTTTTAATACCGAAAAAAGAACAAAAATATATATTCCCATATAAAAACTATATATTCCCATATATATAGTTATTTTCATATAATTAATATTTACATTTTTTAATTTTATATCACTGATCAATTTTCTTATTATAGAAAACGGAGAATGAACTCCCTTGAAGTGGAAACAATTGTAGTGAAATAATTTTCAAAATCTTATCTTCTATTACAGAAATATGTTTTTAAAATATCACTAGCCGAGAAGAACTTTTCTGATCATGGCACCACTAACAGGCTCCTCATTGTTGTCGCGAGGCTCGATGCACTTGCTGCTACATAAGTATTGCAATAATGGTAAGCGATATTTGCCGCAGAAATCAACAAATTTAATGTGCTCCACACGATTATTAAAGAAAACACCTGCGCAGAAAGGTAAAAGTTAATCTTGAAACGAGATTTGAGTCGAAAAAAACGGTTTGTTATTTCGAATTATTCCTATTGCTGCGCAATTTTACACTGAGAGAAAAACTTTTCACACAATATTTATAACTATATTATATATTACTATAATTATAATTATGACTACTATAATATTAGTAATAACTATGTGTATGGTTCTATTAACCAATATACATAGTTGGCAACCGAAAATGACTATAATTATAGTTACAATAACTATACATAATAATACCATTATTATTACTAATAATATAATAATCATAATCATAGTTATAATATTATAATATACAATAATTATAGCTATAAATATGAAAAAGTTTTTCTCGGTATAGAATGCGTTGTAACGAATGTATTGCAGTTTTTTTTTTTTTCGATCTATAACTTATATCTTCTCGAGAACGCTCGACTGTCATTGATTGATTCGCTTAAGTTTTTTCATGCGTTCTCGAAACGTAAAAGATATTTACGCTTAATTTACATTTCGTTGCCTCAATTTTTTCGTTTCTTATCTAAAAGCTTCGTTTATACGCTTCTGCTACTCTCCTCTCACGTTCGATATGAATCCGATTACTATTTCACCAAAGCATTGATTTTTATAACATCTAAATTATAATTATTACTAATTGAAACACTGACCTTTGCATTTAGGATTGACACAGCTGTGGGCACTATTGAGGTACTGTACTAAGTTATGCGGTATACTTTCATTATCGTAGCGAATATCACTGGACTTGATGATACGTGCTGCTAGCTCCAATAACGATGGTGGATTGTGTGTCATATCAGATACGAATCTCACCACCAACGGATTGTCTCGTAAAGACAACTGCAAAAAACAAATAAAATTGTTTTTCACAGGACAAATTTTAATTTTAAAAAATCAATTACAACAGTTATAAAATTTATTGCGCAAAGATTGCATAGCAAAAACATTTAAATAAGCAGAGGCTACAGTAAAGAAATCAGATTTGTGAAAACAATTATGAGTTCATTAAACGATATAATATTCTTCGTATAAAAAGATCGCTAAACTAAATTTTCTTGGCGCAATAGCAAAATGTGTATATCGCTTTAATCAAGGCTTCAATCAACATTTTATTTTTAAAAAATTATATTTTAAATTTATTTTGATATAAAGTGTTTTCTGCACCGACAAATTTATTATGTTATTTATAATACTAGACTTTATTATAATCATCATATTCATACACATACACATACATAGACATACACATAGTATTCCTTTTTATTTTAAACAATCAAATATTTCAAAAAATAAAAGATACGGAGAAACATTAACAATCAATAATTTTCAAGTTTTTTTATATCTCATGTTAAAATATACCAAAATAAAGTATAAACCATAAAGTATCTCATAAATTATTGAGTCAATAGCTTTACTTTAATACTTCATAGAACAATTAAAGGAATCATATTATGTAAAAAAGTCATATATTTAATTTTATTTTTTTTTTAATAATAATAACCTTTATGTGATTTTGGAAAATTAATTTTGCTATAATATTATTTACGCCTCAATTAAGTTAACAATTTGTCTTAAACGATTTTTCGTATCTTTCATAATTTTTGAGATATAATATTTGCCTGCAGTAATTAAAATAAGGTACCTTGTATGTATGTATACACATACATATTAAACAGACTGAAAAATATGATAAAATTATTCATAACTCACCTCTGTGAGGCATTTTAATGTTATTATCTCAGTAGGTAATGTTCGTATTCTGTTCTTGTGAAGCGACAGAGTTTTCAAGTTCATTAAATTGGCTATCGAGTTTGGCAGACTCTCTAGCATGTTATCACAAAGTATGAGAGCCTGTAGAGTCTTCAGTTGACCAAGGGTGGACGGTACCTCTGTCAATCTGTTGTTTCCCATTGACAAAACTCGCAATCTTTGATAAATAGAAATATTTCTTAATAATGTTTTTGATAAAATCAACTAATTATTACATTTTATATATACGTATATATTTTCTTTTTTTATATATTTTCTTAAAACACAATACGCATGTATTATACTCGCAAACAATTATTTAAATTAATAGTATTAAAATATTATTATGTACTATAATATAACTCTCATTTATGACTGTAATTTTTCTCTTTTACTGCGTAATGTAATTTGAAACTAAAAAATTCTGTCAAATGAACATTACAATATAACAAATAATTAAAATTAGTACATTAGTGAGAATTAAAAATTTCTTTATCCATAATCCTTTATATGTATAAACGCAGAAAGTTATAGATTTTATAATACAATATTGCTATAAAAATAATCATAGAAATCACTTTAAAAATTATCATACCCTTTTATCACAAATATAAACTTTTAGTAATTATATTGTTATTAATAATAGCGATTTTTTAAATTCAAAATTTTTTATTGCCACATATATACTAAGATATTTAATTATGGTTTCTAAAATATTTCATGCTCTTCTTATATTTAAATTTTTAATTGCCGATTATTGATTAGCTAATAATATATATCAATAAATTTTATTTTTTTTTTACTTAAATCTTAAACATTAAAATTCGTTAAACTGCGCAATTACCCTTGCAATTTCCAGATGTCCTTGGCAATTTCGCTGATACGATTGCCACCTAGATAAAGATATTTTAATCCAGGTAGATCAAAAATTTGATTAGGAAATTCTGTGAGTCTATTGCCACTTAGATTGAGTTCCCTCAAATTAACAAGATTTTCAAAATCTTTCGCCAATCCATCATTAGTTATGTTATTGTGTTTCGCAATCAAACAAGTCAAAGGACAATTCGTCCAAAAATCTGGTAAGCTGGTGAGGCCACAGTTCGAGATATCGAGAAAATTCAGATTGATGAATCTACTGATACTGGCAGGTAGAGTTGTGAGAAGATTTTGACTCAACAATAAGGTATCCACTTGCTCTGGGCTTTTGGTATTGAGGAATTGCTTGTCTAATACTTCGTTGTCGAGTAACAGATAGGACAGGTCCAATGTCCTCAAGGTAGAATCCGAGTCACTGGAGTCTGATGTGTAATTCTCCATGACTGTTCTATATTTTAAAATATTTTATACTTTTACTTTATATTTCATTGTTACACCACTTATTTATTATAATGTACCGTTTATATAAACAAATGTAAATACCATACATATAATATAAAAATTATAACATTAATTTGTTTATATATTTATAATATTTAATTTTTTTGATGTTTTTATTTTTCCGTCTATTTTTCATATGACATTTATAGTATACCTACATATAAAATTAATTCATTAATTTAACAGTAATATTATTGCGCGTGCGATTATCTAAATGTTTTTCCAAAGAAAATGCTGGAAATTTGTGTAGGAATAAAATGATACTTTTATATACGAAACCGCATCGTCATTATCGTAATCGAGCAATGAGAAATGGCAAAATGTAAATAATAAATGTGTAACTTTCGTCATGTAGATGATACATGACGATCTGGATTTGCGTTCAACATAAATTATCGCACACGACGCCTATCAAGTCAATTAAAAAAATTGATAAATTCAAACAGATTAAAAGCGTGCAATAAAAATTACTATCGCCATTGAAATAACTTATAAACATGAAAATAGCATAATTAAAAATGAGTATGATTTTTCAAAGTGTATTCTTTATTTAGCGCACTTTTAATTATAGTAATTACTCACGAATATGCACGCATATATATTCAACATACATTTGGTGCATGTAAAATTATCAAAAATATCGATAAGATTCTGAGAAGACCGTCGTGTCGCGCAAATCGTGCTTATTAGTCCAAATGATGACTTTGTTGTAAAATAATTCTTGAATGTTTCGGAGAAAATAATATACAAGGTGCTACAATAACACTATCGAACTTTTACACTCTCAACTGAATTGCAATCATTAATATTACAAAAATTATTTCTAAATTATATATATATTGACATATGTATAATATATCTAACAAATTATTAAATAAGTTATTTTTAGTAAAAAGTTGTAAGAATCCCAAACAGCGTATTAAAAACATTTTATATCCTGATTTTGAACATTATGCTGTATTGAAACAAAGAATTTGTAGATAAATATAAATTACATTCGATCAACGACCGCATAAATATTGAATAATATTCACACACATTGATAATTCATTAGTTTAAAGACGTTATCCAATATAAAATTAAAATTTTTTAATTCTATATTGTGTATTATTTAAAAACATTTTATCAAAAATATTCATTTTAATTCTATATTACTGTCAATAGAAATTAAGAGTAATATAGAGGTAAAATGACTAAAAACGACTTATGCGAATATTTGAAATCCGCGCGTTGCTATTACGCGAATTATTAATGATTATCATGTGACGTCACTGCGGCCCGTCTGGTTCTGGTATCGTGAACTGCATGGAGCACAACACTTACTTATTACTTGTTTTAGCTTCACGAAGAAGACAATGCCGTTGGCAATCTTCCGTTAGTTAACACTTCTTGAAAACACAATTCGTGTCACAATGCGTAAATCTCGAACAAGCGAATTTTATGAGCAGCGCAAATAGAACGGCGATTAACCACACGGAAATAGGCGGTACACGAATCGCGACCGCATGACATCTGCGCTTTATCAACGTGTGTCTCACGTCTGTATCCATCGCCTATCATCTCCGCCGCTGCTTGCTGCTGCTCCAGCCATTCTCCCCGCCAAGTTCTGTCGCAGCCAATCCTAAATACAAACATTGAAAGCTTTCCAACAAGCGACGCTGCGCACAGTTATCATTTCATCTTTGTTTAACGTTGACGAACAACAAAGAGATAATAATTCACTATTATACTGTGTCATCAGTGTCTCTCATTGGAAAGCTTCTATTGTAAGGTTTATCCAGCTGGATTTATACGATTTGCAGCATATGTTTGAAAAGAATCCGTTATAAATATATATATATTCTATTAAAAGTAATTGATAAGGAAATTATATATCCAAATAAAATTCATTGTTGAAACAATTTTTATTATGTATTTATTAAAAAGAATTTATTTGGTAATTATTTATGATAGAATACGGTCCTCACCTTCGATTTTAATCTAATTAGGCTCATTCGACGCGTTTTCACTCAAAATGAAAGAATCCGGAAGAAATATGTGGCGGTCGATCTCGTGAACCGAGATATTAAGCGAAAGTTCGAGATTTTAGAGGTTAAGACATCTGTCACTGCTTTAAAAATAACAAATTCTAAATAATTACCAAAATAAATATTTCGACATTTACCATCAATTGATAATCCAAGCCGCTTGATATGTCCGAGTCCTTCAATTTCTGCTGAGCCTTCAGCATATCGTCGGGTTTCAATAATTAGCTGTTCCTTTTAGTTGAACTTCATACTTACATGTTCATCTTTCCTCTTTTTTCTAAAAGCGTGTTTATATTCCCACCCGAGTTCTCCCGTATGTCATATCATCCTTGTTTAACGTTCAGTAAACGATAAGAACAGAGAGTGATACCAGAGAGAATTGCCTGAGAGCGGCTGTGCCCGGGATTTAGCTTGTTACTTTGAGGCGCCTCTATGTCCACAAAACGTGGACATATGCCAACATTGCCAACTTCTCTGTCCTCAAGAACCACGCAGCATCAAAATCTGAAAATTACTAAAAATTTTGCACGTCGCGCTTTATATACTTGAATAGAAAGCTAGCGGTGATCCAATCAACGCTTGAATACGCGCTTCAACCGCGCTTGTAGCAGAGCATCGCGCCACATCGCGCTCATTGGTTGACTGCGAGTGGTGGGGTTCGAGTCTGATCGGGGGATATAAATATCGCGTAACTCGCGGTTTCGCGCTTTTGCGAGTTGTTGCAAGTCGGGACGGGAGTGTTCCTGTCATATCACGTTTGACGTTGGAAACGTTGGAATAGTTCGCTCTCTTGTTTCGCACTGTAATCTTTCCTCTGGAAAGAATTACCACTTACCACTATCTCCGCAAGTATTCTGGATGGAGTCTCTTCGGAAACATCCTGATTCTCCACTATCCTCGGAAGAATCCTGATCTCCGCTATCTCCAGACTCCAGACGCGTCCTGATTTCCAGAAGTCCTGATTTCCTCATCTTTGCAGAGAATAAAACAACGAGAATGACGCGGAATTATTTACCAACGAGGTAATTACTAATAATTATTATTCAATTATTAAAAGTTTGACATGCGACGCGAGAAGTATTTTAACAACAATCACCTTTGAACTCTCGAACATTTTTACTCGTTTGCTCGAGAATCAATTGATAAATAAGTCGCGTCGCTTTTTGTTACGTGTGAAGTCGCACGCGGAAAACGACGCCACTTCCCTATTTTTCGATCATTCACGTTTCGTTCGAGGAATGGTAATTGAAACTTAAATCTATAAATTTGTCGTTTATTGCAGAGAAGGACGCGCATTTAATTTTAACAAATATCTACACAAAGTAATGGGAGAAGAGAGATAGACAAGTTGGCTCGGCAACTTTGTGCAAGGAGAGGAAGACATATAAGAAAAACATAATCGGATGCCAATGGAACAACCTTGCAGTGAGTACATTTATTGTTAGCATGCATAAAAAAATTAGATTATTTTATATCCATGATTAAAAGTAATAATTAAAGAAGTAATAATTAATTGAAGATGATTAAAGTGTAATAACTAAATAATTAATCCTAAATATTTTAAAAGTTCATTTTTATGATGATAATTTTGAAAAATGTATAATTATTTTAATGAATATGTAATTGAAAAATTATTAAAATATTTAATGTGTATAGATTATTTTTTAATTTATTGAATTATTTTGAACATTTTTAATTTGGATCTTAAGTTTGTATGTTACAGAACCATCGTAGATACAATGCTGAAAAATCCACTCCAACGCATCAGTCGGTGAGTGATAAATAAAACTTTATTACTAATGAGGTAACAAGTATTACATTAGAAATAAATATAACGCTTCATAGTTCCATTACTTTAAAATGGATGAGCTATAAAGAATTATGGTACATATTTAATCTTGGATTTATCTATCGTTACATATCAATTCGATGTATTATTGAGTTTGAGTATAAACATAATATCACACAAGCCCAATAATACATCGAATTGACATGTAGCAATAGATAAATCCAAGATTAAATATGTATCATAATTCTTTATAGCTCATCCATTTTAAAATAATGGAACTATGAAGCGTTATATTTATTTCTAATGTAATACTTGTTACCTCATTAGTAATAAAGTTTTATTTATCACTCACCGACTGATGCGTTGGAGTGGATTTTTCAGCATTGTATCAACGATGGTTCTGTAACATACAAACTTAAGATCCAAATTAAAAATGTTCAAAATAATTCAATAAATTAAAAAATAATCTATACACATTAAATATTTTAATAATTTTTTAATTACAAATTCATTAAAATAATTATACATTTTTCAAAATTGTCTCCATAAAAATAAACTCTCAAAATACTTAGGATTAATTATTTATTACTTTAATCATATTCAATTAATTATTACTTTAATTATTACTCAGTATACACACAAAGACAGAAAATGAAATAGAGTTTAAAAAATGACCACTTAGTTATAAATAGATATATATTAAAATGAATAAAATAAAGACTTTGAATTTGAATTAATAAAGATTAATTTTATTAATGTTTAATAATAATTTTTTAAATATTTGTTTAATAATAAATTTATTATTGTTTTTCCTGTGCACAATGATTCAATTTTGCCAATTTCTGTAGGATCTTTATAATTATTTCTATTTTAAATAAACGTTGAGTAAATACGAAACTGACAAGTTCAATTTAAAATATTAATAACGTAACAATGATTAAACTGCAAAAATATGAAGTGTGCAGTAAATAAGTGATTTAAAAATAAAAATGCGTTAGAAATAATGATCATTCTATAATTATATCAAATGTAAACATATTTTTTCCAGAAATCAAGCGAACAACGAAAACGTATTTAAGGACTATAGACAGGATGAAGGCCTGAAAAACCGGAAATCCTTTGGGAATTTTTGAAAAATACATAATAAAATCAGGTAATTTTGCTTTAAGGCGTTTTCAATACTGAGGTACGTAAAAGAATTTTTTTTGTCTCGATTACTTATATAACTGCAGCTGTACTGATAAAGCTCATCATCCGAGAATGGATTAAAATGGATTGGACATTTTGTCTATTCGAATTCGTATTTTAAACAGCGAAAACTTTTTTGGATTCAATTAAGTTCAATTAGATTCATCTGGATTGAAAAACTGCGTTTCCTATTCAAAATTTCAAATTGTACAGTATTCATTATGGTCACAAATGCACTGAAAAAGCTGATATTATTTTTTGATTGAAAGATATATAGATATGCTCCATGCAATTCCTATAAATGAATAAAAACGTATTCGGATTGAAAAGAATTCATTTTAACGTTCATGAATCCGTATTTCTGAAAAAATCTGAATCCATTTCAATCCATTCTCAGATACTGGGAAGGTAACTTTGAACGGTTACTTTTGCTTTGTTGACAACAAATCGAGTATACGCGCTCTATGAAACAAAAAAATAAAAAATCGTAATAGTAAAAAATTAATATAGCCGGATGTAGGGAAATAACAAAATTGCAAAAAGTAACAAAATGGCGGACATGAGAATCTTTTTTTAATTTGGCCTTTTTTTGTTACGAAAAAGATAAATAAAATTGTGAAATTTTTATTAATTAAAAAACGGCTACATCCGGCGATAAAAGTAAGGTTTTTGAACAAAATGCAATTTACACTAAGTTAATAGGTCGAATAGAATTTTTGATTTGCTGTCAACTAGATTGAAAAAGATGATTTTGAGAAAAATGCGTTTAAAGTTTCATTTTTAGATTATATGTTAACTGCACATTAAATTAAAAATTTAAGTTACTCTTATAAAATGTGTGTAACGTGTCTGAGAGTAAAGGGATTTAGTGATGTCTTGATTAAAATACACATCTTTCTTTTATAAAAAAAATGTAAACAATGTTTCAATATTAGGTTAAATATTTTATAGTAATATTTGAATTTGCAAAGGCATAACAGCCTTAACAGATCGCGTGATATGAAGATAAAAATATTAATACAGTTATAGGAATTTTAATCCTAATAAATATTAAATATATAAGTAAAGGACTCTTAGTATTCAAAATATAATAAATAGGATAATAAGAGTAAAAGGCTAATAAAAGTCAAACATCTAAAATTCAAAATTGAATCAACGCATTATATATTTTATTAATGTTTAATTTTTATATTTATGTCAATATATTTGCGTTGATTTAATTTTTAATTTTAGATGTTTGACACTTATTAGCCATTTACCTATATATTATATTTCTAATAAATTTACCTCATTTAGATTAAAATGAAAAGATGTGTATTTTAATCAAAACACCACTTTACTCTCAGACACGTTATACATATTTTATAGGAGTAAGTAACTTAAATTTTTAATTGTGTAGTTAACATATAATCTAAAAATTTCATGACGTTACATTAATGTGTTAGGGTGCGTCCCGATGGAGAAAGAAATAGCGGAATGAGAACGGAACATTGATAGAAAAGAGATAGGATTGTTCTATCTCTTTTCTATCAATGTTCCGTTACTGTTCCGTTCCATTATTTCTGACTCCATGTGACTGCACCCTTAAAGACGAAAAGTAGTGAACGACAAATAGAAAAATTAATTATAAAAATTATCATAAACACTATCACAATAATTCCGACAGAAAAGCGCAATACATGTATTTCATTATTAAATATTCCTTTCCTACTTCCTAAACACGTTTATTCAGACATAAACATTCCTTCTGTATTAGTCGCTCCATTCCGGTTTATTTAAACGCTTAATTATGCCAGTTTTATCTGATTAACAATAATTTCATAAAATGAGCATAATACGACACACAGGTTGAACCTGTGGTATTATGCTCATTTTATGAAACTATTGTTCTTCGAATAGAACCACATTTTTATGAGTTTTATATATTTCTCTGATTACTCGAGTGTTATTTTACGTCTCTTGCAGTCGTCTCCATGACACGTGCAACAGACGCAGAATTTTTTCAAAATATTTACGGGGTATTTTCGAAACTTGTGTAAATTCGGGATGCGGTCCAGTATCAAAATCGATACAATATCGTTACTAAGAACATTTTTCACAAATAAAATTATGTCAGTTTTCTTTGATTACTCTTGTATTATTTTACATATCTCTTGCAGCTCTCTCCATCGCACGTGCAACAGACGGTGCAGAATTTTTAAAAAATATTTTCGGTGCCTATTCGAAGCTTGTGTAAATTCGGGATGCGGTCCGGTAACGAAATCGTTGCAATACGTGCTCAATTCTCCTCTCGTTTTTCGGTTTGTCGAGTTTATCTCGTAAAACCAGCGTCTAACAGGCCGATAAGCCGGAGTAACCATGATTAACGCACGAGATGCGGGCACTGTCACCTGGTAGGGAAGTGTCTCGCCTCTCGTCTACCAGCCGAGTGGTTTACATTCTTTGAGTGTTCCACAGAGTATC